CGCGGCTGCGCGCCCGCCTGGCGGCCTTCGAGGGGGGCGCGGCGCCGTCGCTCGTGGACGCCCTTGTGGAGCAGGTGGCGCGTTTCCGGGAGCAGCTGCGGCGGCGGGAAGGCGGCGGCGTCGAGGAGGAGCTGCGCCAGGTGCGGGGCGCGGGCGTGTCGGGGTGCCGGAGCCGTGTCGGGGTGCTGGAGCGTTGGGGGGGCTTGTCGGGGTGCCGGAGCCGTGTCGGGGTGCTGGAGCATGGGGGGGGCGTGTCGGGGTGCCGGAGCGTGGGGTGGGGGAGGCGTGTCGGGTCGGCGGAGTGTTCAGTACCTCTAGCCTGCACCCCAGCTCCTGTGTGTATAGATAGCGCCGCTGAGGGGGCAGCGGGGAACACAGGAGGGGCCGGGGGTCACTCCCTCGTGGGGTGTCGCACCCAGGCTGCAGGCACAGCTTCATAGCAGGAGACTCACCCTGCGCCCCCAGGGAGGCCCCCACTTTCACTTTTGACTTTAGTAACTCGCGCTTTTATTTCTGTAGAGCTGAAGGTTTGTAGTTTCCTCGGGCTTTTTGGGGGGCCAACTTCGGTCCCGTGGCCTCATCAGCTCTGCTCGCTGCGGGGCCGGGGCCGGGGGTCGCCAGGCAAGGTGGTGATGGCGCGCCGCTCGTCGCCGAGCTCCGGCTGTGTGGGTGCCCCGACACCGGCCCCGCTGCACCCCACGCGGCCCGGCCTCTTCAGGGTGCCCTCGCCTCACTGAGCGACTGGCTGCGACTGCCCCTCATCTGCTCCAACACCGGCACCGCCCCGCCCCTGCGCCCCGAGCCCCCGTCCCTCCCCTCTGCCCCCCGGCTCGCAGGCCTGAACCGGTCGGGGTCCGGGAGGTCGGGGTCCCGGGAGCTGGCGGCCAGCCCTGGGACAAGCCCCCGGGCAACCCGGGAGCTGGGGTCCGCGCCCTTCCTGGGGAGACGGGCACCCTCGGGGGTGACGCGGCCCCGCCTGCCCCCGCAGGGCTCCCGGCGCCGGCCGTCCCTCTGCCGGGGGTGGGCGCCGGCCCCCGCCCGCGTCCTGCGGGCCCTGTCCCCTCGCTCCCTTTCACAGTAAACCCGCCCCTGTGGGCACAAGAAAGGAGCTTGGGACGCCGCGCGGAGAGCGGAGCGGCCCCCGAGCGGCGTGCTTCCTCCCTCAGGAGGTCGAGAGGCTGACCGGGCAGCTGGCAGAGAGAGAGAGGGTGGCGCTGCCCGCGGGCGAGGAGGAGGTGGCCCGGCTGCGGAGGAGCGTGGCCGAGAAGGAGCGGGCCTGCAGGGCCAGCGCCGTGCTGTGCCGCTCCCTGGCCGACGAGACCCACCAGCTGCGGAGGACGCTGGCCGCCACTGCCCACATGTGCCAGCAGCTGGCCAGGCGCCTGGATGAACGGCAGCGCGCGGACGGGGGCGGCCAGAGCCCCGAGGTAGGCGCGGCGTGGCGAGGTGAGGGTGCCGGGGCCAGCCCCCCCCCAGAAGCGCCTGGCCTGCTCCGGGCGACGCCCCGCGGCCTCCCTCGGAGACGGCGGCTGTGGCTCCAGCCCCCGCCAGGCCTGAGGCCCCGGGCACTGGGGCCCGCTCTTCACTGCCCAGCCGGTGGACTGCGGGCTGAGGCTGCTCAGGAAGGACACAGGCCGATCCCGAGACCAGCAGCGCCTGGGAGGCGGACTGCGCGTCACTGCCACTTTCCCCGGGGCTGCAGGGGCCGCCCACTCTGGTCAGCCGAGGCTGGCGTGGCCGCGCCCCCGCCCGTCTCTAGTCACTTCCCTTCCCGCCCAGATGAGTCACGGGGCTTCCCGGGCGCCGG